AGCAGCAGCAGCAGCACGCTCGGCCGTTGAGGCTCGGGCGCGCCGATCCGTCTTTTGGAGGCCCAGTGAGTGTGGACTCTGAGCCGCACCAACAAAATGCAGTCGGCCACGCACGCACGCTTTCCAGCGCGGCAACGCACTCTGCCAAAGCCCAACCAACGGAAGCGGGCGAAGCGTCGCTCTGCTTGCGAAAAATCCGCAACGGGTCCAAAATCGGCTGACTGGTTGACTGGCTCTTTGGCTGAGATTGACTGCTTGCGAACTCCAACACGGCGGACCCGGGCTGGCCGAGGGCGCCAAAACCAAAAAAAAGCCTAAAGCGCAGCCAGGCTCCAAGGCCGGGCGCGTGCGGTGAATCAGAAATGAGTCCGTCCTGAGCTGCACGGACTTTGCAGCCCGACTCGCCGTGAGTGCACTCTGCTGCAACGCTTGGCGGTCGCATGCAGCGGCCGTCGACTGCTCTTGCTGCCGGATTGACCGGCGGGCAGCGCTTCGAGCCTGCGTCCCCCGAGAGACAGACGACGCAAGGGAGCGCTTGGCGACTGTAATCACACCTCGTTCTAGCCCGGCCAGCCAGCCAGCCAACCCGTCATTCAGGCTCATTTGGCGGGCCTTCCCGAATCGTCGATTTTTGGTCGCAGCCTTAGCCTCAGGCACACGCACAGCGCCCAGGCACGGCTCGAAAAGTCATTCTCTTCCAGAGGCGACGAGCCAACCCAGAGCGAAGATCACAGTTGGCGGACAAGGCTAGACTCCTGTCTTGGTCGTGGGTCGACTAGCGGTGGCTCCACCATGCACGCGCGAGCCAGCACACTCTTCCTTTCCAATAGTGGGCACAGGCGCAGAGGTGCAGAGGTGCAGAAGCGATGCAGTGCTGCACACCAGCGCCCTCGCCAAACCAAGTTGAGCCAAACAGTCGACAGCAAAAGACCCGCACCTGGCCCGTGATGAGGTGCTGCGAGCGCGCGTTTGGCTTCAAGCGAGGATGCAAGCCCATGGATTTGACCAGCCCAACCCGCGACGACACCTGCACGCGGTTGCAGGCCATGGTGCCAAGGCAAGAAGAGGGAAAAGACCGGCGAATGGTCCTCGGCGCGGCTGGACAATGTTAGGCCTCTCTCCTAGCACAACTTGCACCCAAACCAAACTCGGTGAGCTCGGGCGGGGCGGGGCTCTTGTGACTTGTGATTTTTGGTGTCTTTGCCTCCACTTGAACCCTTAGTTTTGGCTCGCGTCTCGCGCATCGAGCTGCAGGGGCCCCGGTCGATTTCCCCTCTCTTAGCCTTGCTGCCGCACTCGACTCAGCGCGCACGGCGCAGCCGCCACCTGAGTTAGGCTCACCTCTCGCAAAGTCGCACACTCCCGCGCATGCTGAGTCTTGCCCGAGCGCACATCTCTTCGACTAACTTGCCGCCAAAACCAACACTCCGCCAGGGTCCAAGCGCCCCCAACAAAGGCCTGCAGCGGCGGCAAGGCTGGCGTCGTATCGCGCTCCTACCATCAGCGCCTTCCCTACTATCATCGCGCCAGTCGCCGTCATCCCACACCTCGGACTGCCGCCCATCGACAGCTTGAATCCATCTGCGCATCCGCGTGCTGGCTGCGATCGCAGTCAATGTAGCAGACGACCTCGCTCGCTAGCCCCCACAATCTTGGGGCGCATTGCGCTTCGCCGCCATGCGCAGCCCTTCCGCTCACGGTCCTTTGTATGGCTGGACCTTCCACCAGTCGCACGATCAGGCCACCGTGCTGTTTCTCGTGCCGCAATCTATCTCGGCAAGCGACATTGACATACGCATCGCCTGCGACCACGTCTCCGCTTCGATCCCCAATCACCCGCCCATCATCCAGGCAAGGCTGTATGGCCGCGTCAACACCGACACGTCCACCTGGAGGATTGCCGACCGCGACCGCGCGCGCAAACGCAGGAGCCGCTCCTTTGCCCGAGCATCCCCCGCTCCGCCGAGCAACTCTGCGTCCGGTTCCGCCGACGCACCCTACATCCGCACGGCGCATGGCCAGCATCATCAGATTCAGAGCACCGTGCCTTCCGTCTCTACCTCCGCCAGCTCGCAGGCATCGGGCTCGCAGGTGCACATCGATTCGCCTCCTCCGTCCAACTCGAGCCTGTCTGCATCCATAGTCTCGTTGCAATCGGGCTCCAGCTACGAGGTGTTATCCAACTCCACACCCGCCTCTCTCCCAGCCCATTCCGCAGGCCCTGCGACCGAATGGTCCAGCGGATCGAGCGA